CCCCAAAACCCCAAAACCCCATGATAGCATTATTTGGAAGATAAGTTCTAGTCAATAATTTAGTTATATAAATATATTCACAATAATAATTCAATATTAATTAAACTAAATAAAATGAGTTCTAAAATTGATAAATACGAAAGTTTTGATAAAATAGGAGCAAATGATTCAAGAGCAGATGAAATAGAGACTGAGAAAGATTATAATACAGATAGTCTTGAAAAACTCAACAATGGAATGTCCCTCTGTAATGCAATAAAATTTTTAAGAAGGAAGTTTAATAACTTTTTTAATAATCAGCTAGAACGGCTTTATCCAATAATTGGCTTTATCTATATGTTACTAGGTATTATTGCTTTGATATTCGGAATAACAGTATTCAAGCATTTGCAGCAAATAAACCCTAATTTCACTGTAATTGAGCTAATGTGGGTTAGAGGGTTTTACTAAGTCCTTATTAATGGAATTTAATACATACTGTTCAATCTTGATTTCAGGGTAGTCTCAAGATAATAGTGGAAGTTACTGATAGTGTGATCTATGTTATCACTCTTTAATATGACTTCCTATTGGTACGCTCTCTAATATCTTTACATGGGTATTGTTTCAGTCCTCCAATTTCTTGTACCCTTTTTCGTATTGGGATTGAGTTATGTTTGGCTTGGTGAAAAATTTAAAAAGCTTGAACTAATTAATATGATATTTGCTTTCATTGGAATGATAATTGTAGTAATGGCATAAGATAACAGATAAAATGAAGTCGATTTAAAGAAGTCATAGTATGATCCAACTAACATTTCTAACACATAATTCTGGCTTGCCAACATATCGAATCTTTGTTGTACATTTACTATATCTATTGTTTTCACTATTGCAAGGAAAATGAAAAATGTGCACTATGTGATTATAAATGGATTTTACTCTTGTATCCTACTAGTACTTTCAAGCATCATATTTTTCGGAGTAAAAAATTAAGGTTTAAATGTCAGTAAATACAATCTAGATTTTAATTAGCTGATTCTGATATCTTTAATAGGAGTCTCAGCAACAATATCAAATGGTTTTACAATAAAAGCATTCTAATACGACTAAGCAGGTAGAATATCATCCCTCTGCTTTCTTGAAATAATTATCTCTTATATTGGAGATATAGTCCTACTTGGCTATTCTATGAAATTATTAGAAATTGTTGGCTGTTTAGTCATTGTCATTTGTTCTGTAATTACTTTCTTATTTAAAATATTCAAATACACTTAAGAAGATGCTGCCGAATAAGTTTAATTTGATGATATTTTGTAGTAAGAGAAAGATGATTAGTCAGAAAGAAAAATTTAAAATCAATGATGTGATATATTTATTAATTATATTCTATAAATACCAATAATTTTGGTTTAATGGGGTTTTGGGGTTTTGGGG